AATAGTAAACATTCTCACAACCTCAGTGTACAAAATACGAAATCGGTTAATTAATTAAATCGAAATGTCAAATGCTGTACAGTGTGGAAGCTTGTATGTAATCTCATTCAGCGAGTGGTCGACCGTATCCGGCCACGAAAGCTGATGCCTCGCAATAATAACTATAAGGTCCTTTCCATTCCTCCAGTCTCCCCCACCATACACAATGACATGGAACGATTTTCCGGCCTAAGATTTGTCGGTTTCTTTTATTATTTCCATAATATACAGTAAACTATAAATTAGTGACGACACAGAAAAGGCCTATGATTTTTTTTTATTTTGCGGCGATGACCAAATTTTTAAATTTTTAATTTAAATTAATTGTTTTTCAATTTTTTCGAATTTGAGGTTCCATGGTTGATCTTTGCACAGTGGAAGATTCTCTGTCAATATGAAATTAAAAAAAAAAAAAAATTCCATTAGTCAAGAGCATAATAAGAAAAAGAAGTTTGCCTTTCCGTTCTGCCTGAAAGCAGGAATCCTCTTTCGGTGATTTGTTCACAAATGTGAAAAATATATGTTTGGTGAGGCTCACTAAATTGTCGATGGTGTTATTCAATAAGATAAGTGGAACTTAAGAGAATGGAGTCATTGGACAATGGCCTCCCTTGAAGGTGTTGGTCTTTATCGGTTACTTTGGCGCGGACACCTTTTAGTAACACCCACATGAATGCCAAAGTCTCTAGCGCGAGCTTTTCAAAAAATACATTTACATTATCAATTTTTAACTAAGGTTCCGACGAAATATATTATTAGGAAGAATAAGATATATAAAAATATAATTTCATCGCAACTCAACTCAAACTCACTCTTGCATCAAATATCGATCAAACAAACAAAAAAAAAAACCAATAGTTCGCCCTACTGACTTTGATGTCAAAGTATTTTAATATTCCCAAATAACTCTAATATATGGCGCAGAGGCAAATTCGTATTGTTTTGCGAAATATGATTGACAATTATTTTCTAAAAATCTTTATTGAAATTGATTGTTAAACACATTTTCAGTTAAAAAGAAAAAATTAATGGCAAAATTCATGCTTACGTTGCCAACTCATTGAATATTTTTTCTAATATTTCCGCCTTCTGCTCCTTCATTTGAACGCCGTGAACCAAATCGGGTATTTTAACTATAAAACAGATAAACGTCTGGATAATCATCATCACATTCCGATATCGGAGGGCTCACACTGAATAGGCATTATGTATATGACCAGTGCCGTAATGACATCTATTACCTACCAACAAGACGCATCAGGTGCTCGGCTCCATAAATAGAAGACATGAACTTTTTGGGGTATTTCTCCGTCATCTCAACATATTGCTGACGTTCAAAACGATATAATAAGTATATTGGCAAAGCTTCGTTGAAGTATTGTCTGATTCCATTTATTATTTCTCGTATTGAAGTTTCTTGTGATTTTGAAATTCGACCACGATTTCTACCGGTCGACTTGGTCTGTTCTTTGATCTCCTCAATTTTGAATTCGTAAAATTCCTCAAGAATGTCATCAACTGTGTTAGGACGAGGCAATGGATGAATTATCTGGGAAGTTCATAGAATCAGCCTAAAATATGATGAATCCACTTGCGAAAATTAAAACCAAAAAACTCACTATACCAGTTGATTTTTAGTGTTCCATTGCCACTCGTCAACCAACCGAAGCATTCCCTCGTCAGTAACATTGACCGAAATTTTACATTTTCTCGCTCTTCTCTACCACCCAAAAATTGAAAATATGAACATTAACATTAGCTTCGCTAATAAGTCGATGCGTCAATGGAGAAGCAACAAACCGCATTTTTCGCTGACGTGTTATTGCTATTTGATGATGGTCCTTGATCGGCAGTACGTTTTCGCCCCCGACCCTTTGCACCAACGGCCTTTATCATTCCGTCATTGACAGTTGAATTGATATCTATGGTGGGCAAGTAATAGTCATCCGTTGCCTCAATGTGTACATAAACATTAGGGGCGGTACTAGATGCCGATGCCGACTTCATCTTTGCGGATGCTATGTTTTCATCTGTCATCTTAAGAATTCTAGACTCTGACACCCACTCATCCCATCTATCGTTGTCAATTGATTCCAATCCATAAATAAGAGGAAGTAACGGTGACGATGGTAAACATTGAACATACATACTTTTTGTTCCATCCTCTATAATGTACCTGATACTGAGGCCCAACATCACCTCCCTCATTCTCATATACTATCCTAAGATCCAGAATCTACGGTGATATGAAAAAAAAGTTGAATTGTTTATTTATTCTGCAGATGAATCGCGACTTTGACGTTTAAAGAATCTCACTAAAATATGTAGTGTTGGATTTAATTTTTATTAAACTTTTCCAATACAATAGATCCTCTCTCTTAAAGCTCTCTTTCCCTGAAGCAAACAATGGTTTCAAGTGTCGAAAGGGTTACCTGAGCAGGATATGCAATGGGTCCATGAAAACAAAGCACATTTTCACCGTTTTGGTACTTGAATACCGCTGAGGTAGAACCTGGTGCTGCTAAGGCCGAAGAAGTATATTTTTTGCTTTTAACCATTCGTATTATAAACGAATACTGTGTGATTTTCAAAATGTGCTAAAATATTATTATATGCATGTACACTCACCTGCCGATCATCGCGATTTTAAAGAATTTACTAAATAACTTTTAATAAAATTTATACTAATGTGTTCACAAAAATCTGAATTTTTTATTAATACTATTAATATTTTGTTGAATTTTCATTACTATCTATTACAACCTGAATTCTTCTTAGCATACTTTCTATTAAATTTTCTAAATTTTCTAATTCAATTTGATTTCATTCTTCTATTAAAATAATCATTAATTCTACAAGATTTTTTGGATAATAGTCATGTTTATGAACTCTTTTTTCTAAAATATCCCATAAATACTTAATTGAATTAAAATCTGGTGATTGGGCAGGTCAAGAAATATTTGTTATTAAATTATTTTTTAATTATTGTTTAACTATTTTTGTCTGATAAATTGAAATATTATTATCATGAAAAATATATTCTAAATTATTATCTAATTCATCAATAAAAGATAAAAGATTGTTTTCTAAGATTTCAATATATATAGATTCTGTAATTTTATCAAAAACTTGAATTAAAGATCTAATCTTATTTTTTGTAAAATATTTTTATACTATTATTCCTTGATTTCCTGATTTTACTATTGAAATTAGACAACTTATATTATATTTTTTATGTGAACATCATTAGATCCAATAATGTGAATCATTTTAAAACAATAAAAAATAAGATTTATTATTTTAGATTATTGTATTTCATTCTAAATCTCAATTTTTTCTAGTACAATATTATTTTAATCTTTTTTTTTACTATTTTTTTCAGATACCAAAAGATTTTTTTTTTCAACTTGACCATAAAATCCTTTATAATATAAAATATATTAAATAGTATAAGAGCTTATTGAGATTGTTAATAAATGATCAAATTTTTCTATTATTTTATTCAAAGATTGTTATCAATATTCTTTTATAGTTTTTACAAGATGTCTGATATTTCTTTTTGTCAATTTTAATGGTCTACCAAATCTAAAAATAATACTAGTTTATTAATTTGTTTTATATCTTTCAATAATATTATAAATAGTTATTTTTGGATAATTAAGAATATCATTAATATTGTGTTTACTGTAACTATCTTTCTACAAGTCAATAATTTCACTATACTCAAAATTGATAAGTTCATGAGTTTTAGATATTAATTTTTTTTTTATTTTTGAATAAAAGAAATTTGTGATTACATAGAAAAAAATTTTAATGTATTTTTATATATCAGATTTAAAGTTATTCATGAATAAAATTTGATTCTTAAAGTAATGATCTTCATGTGATTAAATACTTTTTTTTTTTTTTAAACCCTCTGTCAGGCTAAGTATATGTATTTTATTAAATATATATATACTTTATATTAAAGATATATTGTTAAAGTTAAATCTTTATCTAACTCACTTGTTTTTATTTTAAGAATTATTAAAACTCTAAGTGCAACTTTGGAAGTGATTTATTGCTCCATTATTAATTTAGATAAAAACTCTTTCAACTATTAACTTCATTGCCAGCAGGTCACTACTATAGATTACTCTATGAGTTTTGACTGAGCTTAAAACTTAACTATTTTATTTCATACTCTACTCTTTTTGTTAAAATTTCTCAAAGGCTTTCATCTTCAAGATTTTCTTCTTCAAATAGTAGATTTCTTTTCTTCGGAATCATTGTTTTCTGGCCTGATAAATAAGGAGTCTTTTTATCTTATCTTTTTTATTAATTCTTTGTGTTTATTTTTATTTGATTATCTTTTTGCATCTCTTGTTTCAGACTTTTTTTTAGATTTGGTTGCAAACTCTTTTTTGTATTTTTATTATCCACTTTCTTGCTATTCTTTCTATATGTTTACCTTAATATTTTAGATCTATCACTTCTAAAATAAGATCAGTTCCTATAAAACCAGTATAAAAACTTAATATATTCTAACTTGTTTCAAAAATCTGTTCCATTACTTTAGTAATCCACTTGTCAAACTCTTCTATTTATTCACAGTCATTCATGATTAACCTGAAATTTTTTTCTTTAACCTCTCTCTTTCTTTTCCATAATAGCTTTTTAAAGTTTTTAGTAATTTTATCTACTCTTTTATTGCATGCCTCTTGTAGCTAATCTTTATAGGCTAAACATTCTAGTAAGTGTTCTATAGTTTCATCTTGTTGATTACATACAATACATTTTACTTGCTTGTATAGATCTGATTTTCTTATAGCCAATTTACTTAAGATGGGTAATTCATTATTGATCAGTTTAATAAGAAAGCTTCTTTATTAAGATTGTTTAAAAGATTTTTTTATGTATATCTATCTTTAACCCTTTCCCATACTAGGTTCCATGAGTGAGTCTGGTGTTCTGAAATCTGATAATTCCATTTTTTCTCTGTTTTGTTTTATTGTATTCACTGATAGTTTGTTGTCTTATTGTTAATATTCATAAAAAACTATCTAATTGGATCATCTAGAATTGTTCCTTGCCACTTGATTTCAGTTATAATTTTGTATAAAGTTGAATCTTTCTATTTAATTGGTGGAAATTTTAAAACTTCCTTAGCCAAGATATCTACTTCTTGATTATAGGAGTCATTTGAGTATGCCTTAACTTTTGTGAACTTTGGATTTATATTTTTCTTATTTATTAGCTCTACTATACATATTCATAGTGACCAATTTTTTTTAAGCCATCTCTTGTGTATCCTTTTCAGGTTTTTTTTTTTTAAGAATTTCCATTTAGAAATATATGCTTGATTATGTATAAAGATCTTTACCATGCTTTCAATTGAAACTATCAGGAGTATTGTTATGATTGCTACCAATTTTGCTCTTATATATGAGGACCAATTGTTTATTCCTATTTGGAACTTGCTTTTCTTTCTTTTTTTTTATATTTGGTTCCAGGCTACTCCCATTTTCATATCTTCTTTTCTATGATTAGTAAGTAATCTGTCAAAATAAAAGATTAATTTTTCTTTAGATCCAAGATTATGTTAAAGTATATCCATTAGGTGATCTTGATATACTTCTTCTCTAATATATACTTTAATAATAGATTCTTTCCAAATTTAGATATCCATATGATTTTCTTTATTATTTTGAATATTTAAAGAACCTTGGTTACTATAAATCACTTCTTTAATCCTTTTTTCAAGTGCTATTTTGAAGTTGGGAATTTTTAAGTTACATATTCTTCGGATGGACTTTCTTGTATTAAGATATGGTACTATATATATTTCTTCTATTTCTCTTTCAATAATACATGTTGTGCCTTCTGAACATTCTAGACATTTTTGTATATTGGTCTCCTGATCCTTGTTGAAGTTCTCAAGTTACTTGATTTCTTTTATTTCTCATTACTATCTATAATTTTGTATCAATTAGAATCTATTTTTGAGTATTCTGGTTCACTTTCAAATAATTCTCTCTTCCAGATCTTATAAGCTGCTTTGGTTGTTTTTCTGGAAAAATTTTAGTTATAATTTGAAACCATTCTAATATAGATCCTTTGCTTGTATCTTGTAAAAGCTGAAGCATTTGCCAGTCTTTTATTTTTTTGGTTTTCCGATCAATTAGCTGGTTCAGGTACATCAGTTAATTGTTTCTAAGTGATAGTATAGCTTTTTTGTATTCTTCCGATGCAAGATATTTTCTAATCCAAATGGTTTTTTTTTTTTATTCAAAGATATTTTATCATTTCTAACTATGAAATGTTATTTCTATATCCTTAGCAATTTTGATCACTTAGAGTGGAAAGTTGCCTTGTCTATTAGATAACTTAAGGATTTGCAGATTAATAAATTGAGTGGTTCTCAATTTTTGATCTGTGCTTGTTTGAGTCTAATGAATATTATGATTCCTGTTGATTTGAAATCATTTAGTTAATTGCAAAATTCTATTACTTGACTTCTCTTTATAACATCCAAATACTTTTCAAGTTATAGATCTTTGGATAGTGAATTACATTATTGGGCATTGATCTGCATCAACTACTCTTATTCTTGAAAAGTTTACTATATACTATTGTTAAGATATTGCATATTTTCCAGGACAATATAATATCTTGTATTCTAAATTCTATCCTAGGTATTAAAACTCTATTCAGAATATAGAGGGCTTGTTTATTTATCACCTTTTTATATTTAAAGGCTCTTGTTATAATATTGATTTCTTTAAGTACTTATTCTTTAAGCTTAATTGCAGTTTTTTGATTATCTATTCAGATTCCTAAGAATCTAACCTGATCTGTTCTATCGAGCTCTTTAATTACTTCTTCTTAAATATCTGTCTTCATCTTTTTTGGATTGCAGTTAAGATTGTTAATAGAGATTAAGACTGATTTGTTGTTATTTATTTGAGAGTTGTTGACTATATAAAAGATTCTTGTAGTTTTCAGAATCTTTTCTATGTTCTCCTTAAATCTTGCTATTCATGTTGTGTTTTCTATGAAGGCTATAGTCATATGCCTTGATTTTAACCTTCTTATAGTCTGTTTTTTAAGATCAGGGTTTCATGTAACTGATATTTTGTATCCTCTTTATATATCATTCTGGATTTTGCATAGAAGTGTGTTATAGAAAATTCTCTATAGTAGAGATAAGATAGTTTTTCCTTGATCAATTCCATCTCTAGTTACTATTGATTCTGT